TTCCTAAAATCAACCTGTGATCATGAATATATTCCATTCAAGACAAATATTATTTCCTTTTAGCGAATACAAAATGATTCCATATCCATTAAGATATTAGGATTTTTCCCATTCAACAAGAGGAGATCCAAGACCTAAAAGATTTTTTAAATTTCACAACAAAGAAAAAAAAAATTAGTATGGAAAACAACAACGGTTACGAATTCAATTATATATTGAATACTGATGGAATGTGTGCCTCTCTTCGCTTTGCTAACTAAAAATAAAGAAAAAGAAAGAAGCAATATTGAATATGTTGTTGGCCATAAATGATCGTCTAATGTCATAATCGGTTTTCATTATTATAGTTGCCAAAGCAATTAAGTCAAATGGCATATTAATATATATAGTTATTTTGTGTTCATTCATATAAAGAACATTGATAATCATCTTTCCTCCAAAAATAATTATAACAACTATAGATATATTGAATAAAATGTAGATTTTATTAAAACGTGTCCAAACAAGAGTGGCTTTCTCTGGTTGTATGGATGAAGAAGTTTACATTATTAGATATATTGCAATCAAAAGAAGCTTTAAATGAAAACAAACATCATCAAAAAATTTTAAAAAAATAATCTCAAGTGTAAACTTTTATTAAAGAAAAATATCAAGCCTATCAATTACTTTTTAGAAAATTAAAGTGGCATAGAGATGTATTAATTAAAGATAGCTCCTCAATTAATCACGGCATGTAAAAATTGAATCAGCAAAGAAGCGAGGCTAAATTAATGCAAAATTTCAAAAGTTATAACGATTATGGCCATGAAACAATGATATATTTGCCTCCTTTTAAAGTGGCTTTAGAAAATTACTTGAAAGGAAACAAGTTTGATGATGTAAAGTACATGGGCTTCTCCGTTGCACAAACGCTTTAGAAGAACCATGGTACAAAAAAAAAAAATATTAAGCCCTTGATTGGTCCTTAATACTAATACTAATACTGTTATTTATATTATTATTATATTTAACCTCCGTAACACAGGATCTGGGCCTAGTACTCTATATAAAAAAGAAGCCGAAAGTTAAAAAAGTAAATATCATTCTTGATATCACATGACCATTAAAACACAACTATGACATGGGATTTACAACAACAAACTCAGCCATTATTTACATCATGACTTCACTATTTAAAATATCAAGCGATGATTTTTAAAAGGGTTGAATTGTGCGAGCGCGAGAGTTTGACAAATTTCTTTTTTTAGTATCATCTCGCAAACAATATCAATAATATAAATACTGAATAGATTTTATTTTCCCCTGACATCTTTCTTTCCCTTCTTTTTAAGAAGAAAATCAATCCAAAATTTATTTTTTTGTTAAAATTATTTATTTGATTAATTGAAAGATGAAGAGGAAGAAGATGATAATAGCAATATTTATAAAATTGTTGGTTATATTTTCTTTGGCTATTTTAATATTTATCAACATTGTGATAAACTTGCCAATTAATAAAAATAACCTCATTTTATTAGACGCAGGTAATCAATCAATCAATCAATCAATCAATCAATCACCATCACTACTACTGTTATTATGAATTTTAATTTTATTTATTTATTATTTATTGATTAGAAATTGATAAAGATCACGATCCTCATTATTATCATTATTTTAAATACAACCAACAATATTTAAAAAATCAAAATAAATTAAGAGCTGATGAAATTTTGGTGACTATTTTAATTAATTAATTAATTCCTTAAATTTTTCTGATTTTTTGATTTCTGATTTTTCTGATTTTTCACAATAGAAGACAAGTCATAAATCAAATCCATATGGTCATTATCAAATCCATGATAAAAAATTTTGAATTTCAAAAAACTTGTAAATAATAACACAATTTATAAATATTTAGTAAATATCTCCTAGTAAATATAAAATTTTAAAAAAAAATTTTCAGATTTCCCACACATCACGAGGTGTGATGTTGTTAAAAAACCAATGTTCAGTATTGCGTATTGCGAGTTGTGAGTCGCAAATAACTTATGCTTACTATCCAAATTATCCATAACCTGTATAACTACAATACCTCTCTAAAAGAAAAGAAATAAAAGAAATAAAGAAAATAATTATAGGATTAGTATGAAGACTAGCCTTTTTTATTTCTTCACCGTCGCAAAAGTTTCTTTATCACTTCACTTGTTTTATAATTCTAATTCGCGTTATTATTTATATATTTCATTTGTTAATTTCATGAATTTGTTAGCGCTAAACGAGTTACTCAGAATCAGAGGTTTCTTTACCATTACCACAACCAATAAATAACAGTGGTGTTAATAGCAATAGCAGTATGCTGTGATAGTAAGAAAAGAAAACAGCAGATGTGTGATTCTACCACTACAGCAACTAATAAGTCATGGCGTTATTACTAAGAAGGGTCAAGAGAAACGAAAAAGAAAAGATCTTAACATAAAAAATGTAATTTTTTTGTGAACAACCAAACTAGCTCGCATTGAAGCATATTTGTTATAAAAAAATCCTCCACAGAATACATTGATAATGAATGATACGAGAGAGTTGGAGAATGAAACATGAATATATGTGGCTTAAAATATATTAATATAAATAGCAAAACAATTTTTTCCTCAAAAAACAAATATTTTTCTAGGAAATTACTTAATAAATAGAAAGAAAGAGTTTGAAAGAACATTAGAAGCTGAAGCAACTTGGCATTTGGACAAAGAAAATTTAGCAATTTATTGTATCCCGTGTGAGAGAGAAACATATAGTGAAAATGCTACATGAGGCATACTGCAACAAGCCCAAACAGTGAGCATTTTTACTACAGAAGATCACGTGGTACAAAAAATTAGCATTGCTTTATTTTTATTTGGCTGTATTTTATATTTCTTGTTTTATGTTTTTGTTTTTTTAACCCACATACAAGATAATTCAGATCCCCTACATAAATTACAACCAGCTATTTCATGAGTTATTTATACAGCTGCTCTAATCAAGTGTTTCACTGTTTATCTATTTATTATTTATTTATCTTTAACCAATTCACCTGTGTGGCAACAAACCTATTCATTTAAAATCTAAATTAAATTATTACATTTCACAACTTTAACAATTACCTAACTCCAAAGTGACTTACTTGGTTATTGGGTTCATTGTGAGTAACTGGGTTATTAAATCTTTTTAATTCTGGTTGTGTGATGATCTTTATATTAATTGCAATCAATATAATTTTCTTCATTGATAATATTATTTCCGCCAGGGTTAACATGATGTACCAGCAAGATCAATGAACTTTAGTCAAATTTATTGGTCCTTTCAAAATTTCATAATGGACCAAAGCTGTCCAATATTTTATTGGCCATGTATTAATGGAATACAATGGACTCATGTATAAAATTTAGTTGCAGAAAATGTGGAGCATACCTAAAATTTCTTTCCTTGAAATTTTAGGCGCGCATTGATTGACTTTTGTATCAATTTAATTCATTCGCGAAAATTAATTTCTTTCTTCAAAAAGAAATTTTTCCCTTGTCAAATTTTTCTTCAGATAAAAATCTTAAAATATTAAAATGACTGGAATTAAAAAAAGAACTCAGCACTTAAACAATAAAATTTCTGTACAGTCAAACAAAAAAAAAATAGAAGATAGTAAAATTAAGTGAGAAATTGTTAATCATTATTTAATTTGAAAAATAAATAACTTAAATATTTCTTTTTTTAGGGACAATAGTTATTCTGCTAATTCTAAAGAAGACTTTGAAGAACTTGAAAATATAATAGTGAATCTTTATTTCCATTACTAACTAATAATATGAAAAATTGTAAGGCCAAAAGGTCATTAATCTATCATGAAAATTCGAAGAGCATACAAAAAAATATCAGCAAAAGAAAATATCAATACTAATACAAATGGTCAAACTCGATATTTTTTTGTCGCGTGTGATCTGCGGATCTATAAATCTCATTATTGAATACACCTTTGCCTCATTTGATTTGGTTTATATTAATTTTTTCTTGTTTTAGGAATCACTTTAACCACTCGATGTAAATTTCTTTGAATAGAGTCATCGAAAATTTTGGACCGCCTTTTGTTGGCCATAAAGTTTTTAAATTCCAGTTATTTTTATCAAATATCTCTATCAAGTCCTTTTCCAGTATTTTTGAGTGGATATATATTGTCTTTAAACTTTCCATATCAGAAGCCACAATTGATGGTTTGTTATTATATAATTTTAAAGTGATGTTAAAAATAAATAAATCATTTTGTTATTGCTAAATAAACAATCTTCCACAAAAAATAAATGAATTTATTTAGCGCAAAATTTTTGTGACACACACAGCACATTCTGTATGTATGAGAATTGCGAATTGCAAATTGTCCACGAACTTTTGGTAAACTGAATTTTTGGAAAGGGCAAGAGCGAAATTGAAATGGATAACATTGTAGCAAACAAATATATTTTTTGTGTTGACACAATTAGTGATCACAATCATCGTATTCATGAATGTTCATTACCCAAGTTTTCATGCAACTTCAGCAAAAAACTTTATCAAAATCAGATGTTACCTCAATTATAATAATCTGGGTCCTGGTGGGATATATAACCGAGGAATAAAAATATAATAATAGTAATTATTTCGTGTGTGCCTAGAGATGTGCCATACGCATGATGCGATGCACATTGGAAGTCATAACTGCTACCCTAGATTCTCCACTAGTGATCTCCCACTTGGGTGGGTGTTTAAAGATGGATGGACAATTAATCGAGAGACATTAAAAAATTGCAAATGTATATTTAAGTGGATTGCATTCGCACACATTATTAAAGAAAAAAATTGTCCACTAATAAAAATTTGGATACACTCTGAAAAACTTTGAAAAGTATTAATAAAGTCCTATAAATGTAAATATTGCGATTATAAATCAAATCAAATTAGTACAAGATGTGAAGGTCGTTAAAAAAATGTAAATAGTTACATTTTCAGTCATTTATTTAACGATTTCTTGGTCGTTGTTGCTTTCTTTTAATAATTCGCTTTAAAGTTTTCGATTTAGGATGATCTACTGAATTTTGCCAATATTTATTTTTGCTACTTCACTCTTGATTAATTGAGTTTTGGCTACGTTCATATAAATCTTTTTATCTCCTCTTACTAGATTTAGCAACAGTCCAAAACCCTTTACTAACCTTAAAACTAATCCAGTTAGTTGGTTTAGCAGACTTAACTAATTGCTGTTTTTTATTTTGACAATCTTTACAATTTCTGGTGTCTTGCACTAAATTCTTAAACTTGGCTGATTGTATCAATTCTCAGTAAATAAATACAATTCATCATCATTGACTTCCTCTTCATTAATTTTATAACAAGAGTTTAGAATCACTTGAAAAAAGAATTTCTAAATAATATCTGAAGGAAGTATGTGCATCATCACACGTATATACATATTTCAAATTTTCCATCTCTACGTGTGGTTTTTTTTCTTTTATTTGTAATAATTATTCATTGGTGTCGTAAAACAAACGGAGTGGTTTCACCACGGGAAATGATTATGGAAACTTATGTCTTCCTTCAATAGCTTAAATTCACGAAAGTGACCATTAATGATCTCTTGAATTTTCACAATACCAGGATTAGAGACTGTAAAAAGAAAATGATGAAATTTTTGAATGCCATCAACCTTTTAAAATAAACCAAACTTGATTTGATATCAAAAAAAAGTTTTTTCCGCCTTTATAGCATTGAGCTTTATTCAAACCTGCGGTGCTAAATCTTTTAGAACATCCACAACATGATTCACGCAATTTACACTTGTTTTTTTTCCACACAGTTTTTTGATCAATTCAAAACTACCATCACATTTGAATTTGGTATGTCCCGGAATCATGAAATAATAATTACATATTACTAAATTCGAATATATAGCTATATTATTTTTTTTTTGTCCACTAGCATTCATTATATTTAAATACCTTTCAATTTCTTAATCCATCAAATATCTATCATTAGGACCTTTTTCTAACAAAGTTCATTTTCAGCAAGACATAGTAACTTGATTTCTTGTATCCTAAATAAATGTATTTTGCGAGGTTAAGGTAGTAGTAGCCTGTCGATCAGAATCTAGTACATAGACATATTGTGGGGAGTAAGGTTAATACTACGATGCTATGTTTAAGGTTTTAAATCACAATTTGGATTTCGATTCGATCCGTGACTTGATTCGAGTTTTAATATTAATATAATAAAATAACAACATATTTTATCCGAGTTTGAAACACAAGTTTTTTTACCCGTAAAGCAACTTTTACTTAACACGTAAATCGTGTTTACTTGATATCTTTGTGTAACTTAAGGCCAAAGTTTTAAAAGTGTAGAAACGCTCTTTTTCAAAAGCATCAATCGTGACGGTTCAAATCAAATCAGCTTGAAATATATATAGTTGAGTTATTTTTGGTTGTAGAGTAACTTTTATTTAATATGCAAACTGTTAGGCTAATAATTATTATATGCTATTAGTATGTAGAGTTGTGCGATCCCAGCGAATTCTATAAATAACTTATTTGTCACATATAATCAATGAGATTAACTTTATGGTTCAGCTACTAAATGAAAAAGAGCAGTGATTGTGGCAATTAGAAAAAACATTAAGATAGACTTTGGGTTTCCCAACCAACTCATATGAGTGAAGATTTGAAAAATATATATTTTAATCCCTCCGGAACCCAAAATTATAAAAACCAATTACTGTATTTGAAGCATTAGACAGGTTTGATGGGTAAACCAAACCGAACCGAGATTACTTTATCAATGGAATGAAATTTAAAATTGATAAATTGATAGCAAAATTCATGGTAAACAATATTGATTACATACAAGGGAATAAAAAATATTTTATTCTTTAATTGCCACCAGTCTTTTAAACACATAGACATTCCGATGGCCTCTGGTTTAAATTGTAGCATCTATGAGAAACCATACCAGCCCCCTAGAAAAAACATGCTCTATGAAATACTTGAACCTATTTTGGAATAAATTCATCAAATCAGCAATGATCCATATTTTTTCATAAAAAAAATATCAGGAATAATTACAAGGTTTGGGTATTCAACATCATGTAGCTATAAGATAGACATTTAATAAATTCTGGGTGTTGACATTATATATATATTTGGTTCTTTATCTTCCAAAAATCTAATACATCTGAATCAAAGTTCATTGTTGAACTATTTAAAGAGTGTTTATGTTTTTACTCCATATGTACAGCAAGTGCACTCTGTTCCTAAAAAGTGGGTAAAGTTTTCAAAAAGTATTATTAGATTTTCATACCACCCACTCTTCCACTAAAATTACCCGGGCGGGGTCTTGTATAATTATATATCTCTCATGTAACACAAAGATCAGTAAATAACCAATAACAGTCGCAGGACATTGCAGATCTACAGGGGTCAAGTGTCACTCATATATATATAAAGTTAATGATCTTCGTGCATAATTTTATATTAATATGTAAAATCGAAGAAAAAAATCACTCTGGTATACACAAACCTACCCGATTTAACCAAAATTGTTCCTTGAATTATAAAAAAAATCGAAATATATGGAAAACCTTTTATTTTGACATACTTTTTGCCAGGGTAAACAAATAAGACTCGAAGAAAATCTTAATGATAAGTTCTATAAGAAATTTGGATATGCACTATTCAATCTTTCGACTTAATTTTTTTTACATAATAATAATTAAAGTTCTAATTTCCAAGCTTTAAATATTTATTTTAGAATTTGTTTATAGAAAAGTATTAATTTTTTTTTATAATATATATATCACTGGGTGAATTAGAAAGTTGTATCAAGCAAATTTATTAACTTGGTGATATGGGTTGTGGACTAACAAAAAGGTGTTCTGGGTTCAAGAACCCCAAAATGAGTATTACCATTGTCATCATCTTCTTCATTAACTTCATCATCACTTTCAACATCATCATTACAATCACTATCATAATCA